GGCCTCTTGGGGCGGAAGGCTCGAGCTTGCGGTTCGTGGTCCCCCTCTGGGCCCCCTCTTGGGCCCGTCTTGGGGCCCTCTTGGGCCATCTTGGGCGCCTCTTGGGCCGTCTTGGGGCCCTCTTGGGCTGTCCTGGGGCCCTCTTGGAAGCTTCTTGGGCCGTCTTGGGGCGGTCTTGGGCGCCTCTTGGGCCGTCCTGTAACGTCGGAAAGCCCAAAAGACAACTTTGTTGAAAATGTACGTTTTACGAAGGGAATGGGCCAATTTTTGCGTCTAGGGGCCCTCTTGGGACGCATGTTGGAGGCTTCTTGGGGCCTCTTGGGGGCGTCCTTGGACGTCTGGGGTCTCCTGGGGCCTCTTGAGGGGCCTCCTGGGGGCCTCCTGGCGGCCTCTTGGGGCGGAAGGCTCGAGCTTGCGGTTCGTGGTCCCCCTCTGGGCCCCCTCTTGGGCCCGTCTTGGGGCCCTCTTGGGCCATCTTGGGCGCCTCTTGGGCCGTCTTGGGGCCCTCTTGGGCTGTCCTGGGGCCCTCTGGGAAGCTTCTTGGGCCGTCTTGGGGCGGTCTTGGGCGCCTCTTGGGCCGTCCTGTAACGTCGGAAAGCCCAAAAAGGCGACTTTGTTAAAAATGTACGTTTTACGAAGGGAATGGGCCAATTCTTGCGTCTAGGGGCCCTCTTGGGACGCATGTTGGAGGCTTCTTGGAGCCTCTTGGGGGCGTCCTTGGACGTCTGGGGTCTCCTGGGGCCTCTTGAGGGGCCTCCTGGGGGCCTCCTGGCGGCCTCTTGGGGCGGAAGGCTCGAGCTTGCGGTTCGTGGTCCCCCTCTGGGCCCCCTCTTGGGCCCGTCTTGGGGCCCTCTTGGGCCATCTTGGGCGCCTCTTGGGCCGTCTTGGGGCCCTCTTGGGCTGTCCTGGGGCCCTCTTGGAAGCTTCTTGGGCCGTCTTGGGGCGGTCTTGGGCGCCTCTTGGGCCGTCCTGTAACGTCGGAAAGCCCAAAAGACAACTTTGTTGAAAATGTACGTTTTACGAAGGGAATGGGCCAATTTTTGCGTCTAGGGGCCCTCTTGGGACGCATGTTGGAGGCTTCTTGGGGCCTCTTGGGGGCGTCCTTGGACGTCTGGAGGCCATCTTCAGCATCTCGGAGCCCTCTTGGAGGCCTCTTGGAAGTTTCTTGGGCCGTCTTGGGCGCTTCTTGGGCCGTCTTGTCTGACTGGGGAGGCCTCCGGCAAGCCCCGACGAGCCTCCGGGCCCCCCGGGGTGCACATTTGCGGTCGAGGTCCCGGCCCCGGGCCCCCGGACCCGGTGCGCCGATATATGTATATATGTATATATATATATATATATATATATATATATATATAGGTAGGTTGGTCGATCGGTCGGTAGGTGGGTAGGTAGGCCAGAAGGTTGGTGTAATAAACATAAGTACATGTAATACAGATGTGCCAGTATGTACGTTTATGCGTATGCGCATACATCTAAATGCCCATCGGTATGTGAATATGTAAATATGTAGATAAATGGTATATATGTATATACTAGAACCATCGCGCGCGCTTCGCGGTCGCTCAAGTTCTAGCTAGGGTCACGATCGTCGTCATTATTGTCATCTTCATCGTCATCGTCATGATCGTGGTCACCATCACGATCACAACAATCATACTTATCACCATTATCATCAGCATCGTGACCACCATCTCCATCATCGTCATCGTACTTTTCAGCATCATCATCATCCGCATCATCAACATCTTGTTGGTCGTCGTCGGCGTCGTCGTCGGCATAGTCATCGTCATCATCATCAGCGTCATCGCCGTCATCATCCCTGGTCCACTGCAGTTCCCTTACCCTCCTCCTCTTCCCGTTCTCCCTCTTCCCATCATTTCATACTCATCCTTTTCCTCGTCGGCGTCTCCCTGAAAGGGATCTCTGCTCCTTCACCTCCTCCTCCTCCTCCTTCTCCTCCTCTTCTTACTCCTCCCTGTCGTCCCCGATGTTCGGTGTGTCCCTCCTTGTGTTCCTTCACCTACTTCACCTCATTCCTCCTCTCGAGCCCTCTTCATCTCGCGCTCCCCTTCCCTCCTCGTCCTTAGCATCCCTCCCCGAGCCAGAGAATCAGAGAGCAAGATAATCAAACAAGAACAATGCCCCTCCTCCTCCTCTTCCCAATCCTCTTCCCCCTCTTCGACCTCCTGATCTTCCTCCCCCTCCTCCTCCTCCTCCTCCTCCTCCTGCTCCTCACCCTCCAGCTCCCCCACCTCCTCCTCCTTCTCCTCCTCTCCCGTCCTCCTCCCCTTCCCTCCTCCTCCTCCTCCTCCTCCTCCTCCGATTCTCTTTTCTCAGCGCATCCAGTACACGGGTGCCTACTGGACCGCGTGCCGGGAGCCTTTTTGGGAAGCATTGTGGCAGTCTCTGGAGCCTCTCTGGGCCTTTATTTGGAATCCTTTGGGGCCTTTGTTGGCCCGTCTGAAGGCCCATTTCTGCCGTTCCAGGTCCCTCTCTTGGCTCGTCGTGGGGAGCTCAGCCCGTCTTGGGGCCCTCCTGGGGCCCTCTCCGACCATGTAGGAATCCTCTGGTGGCCCCCTCGGGCTTCCTGGGGGCTCTCTTGGGCCGTCTTGTAGCTCTTCTGTGCCGCTCGAAGCTCTCTTCGGCCCATCTTGGAATTGGGGCCTCTCGGGCCGTCGGGGGCCCATTGTGGTATCCTCTTGGGCCGTCGTGACCGCTGGTAGAATTGAAAAACGAAGCTCCCGGAAATATTACCTAACAGCTTGTTCTGATAGGCTTCTAGTGGTGTCAAAAGAGAGCAGCAGATGACTCCACAGGGGGGTCTGGGCGGGTGCCGGACAGGGTGCCGCAGAAGTCGTTTTAAGCCAACAGTCACACACTTCGTGCTCTTCGACCTCCCAGAACTCCATTCCCGGGCCACATTTTGAATAACCGGAGCCAACAGTCACACACTTCGTGCTCTTCGACTCCCAGAACTCCATTCCCGGGCCACATTTTGGATGCCCGGAGCCAACTGTAGGCCACTTCGTGCTCTTCGATTTCCCAGAACTCCATTCCCGGGCCACATTTTGGATGCCCGGAGCCAACTGTAGGCCACTTCGTGGTCTTCGAGTTCCCAGAATTCCATTCCTGGGCATGATTTTGAATGCCCGGAGCCAACTGTAGGCCACTTCGTGTTCTTCGAGTTCCCAGAACTCCATTCCCGGGCCACATTTTGAATGCTGAGGCAGGCTGATGCTGAGGCTGAGGCAGGCTGAGGATGAGGCAGGCTGAGGCTGAGGCCGAGGCTGAAGGCAGACTGAGGCTGAGGCTGAAGTAGGCTGAGGCTGAGGCTGAGGCAGGCTGAGGCTGAGGCTGAGGCAGGCTGATGCTGAGGCAGGCTGAGGCTGAGGCTGAGGCTGATGCAGGCTGAGGCTGAGGCAGCCTGAGGCTGACGCCGAGGCTGAAGGCAGACTGAGGCTGAGGCTGAAGCAGGCTGAGGCTGAGGCTGAGGCAGGCTGAGGCTGAGGCAGGCTGAGGCTGAGGCTGAGGCAGGCTGAGGCTGAGGCTGTGACTGCGACTGCCGTTGCCACTGCGACTGTCATCGCGAATGCGACTACGACTGCGAGAACAGCAGAATTCTACAACTGGATTCTCATATGAATCTTAAGGGGAATGCTTCCAGATATGCTCCTACACATCGCTGTTAGGTTGCTTTGCCGGGATAATGTGTTTTTCCATTGGAAATGTTGGATTTTTGTCTTTGGAGGGCCTTCTCAGCGGCCTCTTGGACAGTCGTGGGGGGGTCATTTGGGGCCTTTTGTGGCCCGTCTGGGAGCCCACTTCGGCTGTCCCAAGCTCCTCTTGGCATGTCATGGGTAGTTGAGCCGTCTTGGGGTCCTCATGGAGCCCTCTCCGACCATGTAGGGATCCTCCGGTGGCTCCCTCGGGCCCCCTGGGGAATCTCTCGGGCTGTTTTGGAGCTCTCTTGTCCTGCTCGACGCTCTCTTGAGGCTGTCTTGGAGCCCTCTTGGGGGCCTCGTAGACCGTGTGGCGCCGATTTGGAGAGCCTTTAGGGCCGACGTGGCCGCCGATGGAACATAAGAAACGAAAATCATAGGAATGTACGTTTTTCCATTGGAAATGCTCGCTTTTTGCACCCAGAAGCCTTCTCAGCGGCCTCCTGGACCGTCTTCAGGGAGACTTAGTAGGCCTTGTTTGGACCCTCTGGGAGCCCAGTTCGGCCGTTCCGGGTCCTTCTTCGCCCGCCATGGGGACCTGAGCCCGTCTTGGGACCCTCTGGTGGCCCTCTGGGGGCCCTCTCCGACCATGTGGGGATCCTCCGGTGGCCCCCTCGGGGTTCCTGGGTACTCTTTTGGGCAGTGTTGGTGCTCTCTTGTGCTGCTTGAAGCTCTCTTCAGGCCGTCTTGGGGCCCTCTTGGGGCCTCTTGGGCCGTCTGGGGTTCATTTTGGGAGATGGGGCCGTCGCGGCCGCTGGTAGAACTGAAAAGCAAATATCCAAGAAATATACGTTTTCCCATCTGAAATGCTTGATTTTTGCCCTTGGAGGGCCTTCTCGGCGGCCTCTTGGACCGTCTTGAGTGATCTTGTCGCCGTCTAGGAGCAGTCTTGGGCTGTCTTCGAGCGCTCGTGGCCCGTCCAGAAGCCATCTCAGTGCGCTCGTCAGCCACCTTCCAGACAACCTGGGGCGCTTCGGGCGCCTCTTGGGCCAGCTTGGGAGCCTCTGGGGGGGTCCAGGGCCCCTTCTGAACCCTCTTGGAGCCCTCAAGGCCCCCCGGCCCCCCATACGAACCAAAAGCAACAGTTCTGGGCCCTCCCCCGGCCTACTCCGATATATATATATATATATATATATATATATATATGTGTATGTATATATATATATATGTATGTATGTGTATAAATATGTATGTATATATACACATTGTATGTATATGAATATATATATATATATATATTATATATATATATATATATATTATACAAATCCCCCCAGACGCCTGCCGCCGCTTGCGTCGCTCGCCCGCGCGGTCGCATACGCCTGGAAGCCCTCGACGAGCTCCAGCCGCAGCCCGCGGTTGTGCTGGCGCGCCACCTCCCCGTTCCTCCACGCCGCGCCCCTCGCCTCCTTGGCCGCCTCCGCCCCGAAGCCCAGGGCCCCCCAAACCAGGACATCGCTACGGCAGGTGCGCGTCGTGTCGACCCCGTCGGTGGCTTCTGACACAGCGGGGATCGTTCAACCTCGAACGAGCGGCCGTTTCCGAAACGTCAGATCGTTCAACATCGACCGATTCTGGGTCGCCAGCGGCGCTCCAAATTTGAGCGCCGGCGGCGGGGTCGCCGCCGGTCGACACGATGCGAAGCTACCGTAACCAGGACTTGGGACCCCCCCCCTGGAGAGAACAAAGCATTGAGCCTGCTTCGACCCACGGCCGCAGCCTTCTCGGGCGTGCCAAAGTGTCCTGGTTTGGCAGGAGTCCCCGTCTGGGGGGGCCCCGAGAAGCGCGCGAGCACGTCGGCCCGGACGTGCTCCAGGTCCGTGCTTGTCCGCGAGGCCAGGAACCGGGCGAGGGCCCCGTGCTCCTCCTCTGGAACGCAGGAGGCCATGCTGGAGGCACACAACCCTTTAGACAAACATCGCATCCCGAGCGGCGCGGCCGGAAGGCGCCCGCAGGCGGAGCCTCTGCCACAAGATTTCTGGGCGCGTGCGTCGCCCCGGGGAGGCCGGCGCGCACATGGTACGGTGGGGGGCATTGGACAAGGAACCCTTGCATATAAGGAATCCAGGGTCGGGAAGCCAGTGGAACTCCAATCGTGGATCGGCCATGGATATCACCACCGCCCTCATTGGAGAAGGAATCCTCCAGGGTCTGGCGCCTCCTGGGGCTATTCCTCAACAAACGCCTCCACCATGTTTGAGTACATGCTTGGGTGGTGCCGATCCTCGACCTCCGCCCTCAGCCTCGCGTCGAGCTCCTCCGGCCCCTCGGCCCCCAGCCCATGCCAGCGGCCCCGGAGCCGCTCGATCGCGGCCTCACCCTCGGCGCGAGCCGCACGCTCGCGCTCCATCCTGTCGCGCCCGACGTCGCGCTCCGCCAGGGCGCCCTCGATGCTGCCGCACCGGAAGGCGCCGCGCGTGGTCGCGAAGAGGCGGATCGCCTCCAGCTCCCGCTCGAACTCCGCGGTCACGGCCGAGTGCTCGTCGCCGAAGAGGTCCTCCATCTCCTCCTCGCCCGTGCACATGCTCAGGGTGTTGTCGAGGAAGACGCACGGGCAGTCGTGGTCGTGGCCGACGATCGTCCGCAGTGCCTCGTTCATGTTGGCCGCCAGCGACTCCTTGGTAACGCCGCGCCGCTTCTGAACCTTGCTCGCCCTCTTTGTGTAATCCCACCTGGTGAACCCGATCAGTGTGTTCCTCATGAGAGCAACGCCGAACACCGACTTCAAAGACTGCAACATATCCTTCAGGTGGACTCCGATCCGCGTCTCCTGAGCGTTGAAGAGGAGGAGGAAACAATTGACATGGCCGACGTCGGTCCTCAGATAATTCACCATCGACTCTATGAAGCCCGTGTCCCTGCCCTCGGAGTCGCTGAAGCCGCATAGGTCCACCCCCCGCACCCGCGGCCCATCGCCCCTCCAGGGCAGCGTGGCCGACGCGGGCCGGACGGTGTCCGAGGAGAACGCGTGGCCCACGGAGTACGCCTGCGAGCGGAAGCAGGAGTTCAGGGTCGACCCCTTGCCCACGCCCGTCGCCCCCAGCAGGCAGAGAGTCGGCACCTCCTCGTCTCGCTCCTGGCCGCCGCCCTGCTGCCCCGAGCCCGGAGCAGCACCGCCGGCCGCAGCCGCCATCGCGCCGCCCTTCGTGATGGGCCTGTCTTCCACCACCACAACCATAAGTTGGAGGGGGGAAGGAGGAGGAGGAGGAGGTGGAGGAGGAGGACCCCCTCCCCCTCCAACTTGTGGTGGTAGTGGTGGAAAACAGGCCCATCACTTCGCTCCCGGCCGGCGGTGCCCCCACGGCCTCGAGCGCGCATGGCTCGAGCCAGGGCCTCGGCCGAGGCTCGGGCCCGAGGCTACGGACCCCGTTCGCCCGGGCTCCTTCCACGCCACACGGGGGGGGCGCCCACGGGCGCCCAGCAGGCAAAACCCGTGGCGGACTCGTCTGGCGCAGGGGGCGCCCCCACGAGGTGCCCGCGGGCGCCCACCAGGCGGGACCCCGGCGGACTACTTGCCAAGCCAGGCGAGGACCCCGACTGCCAACACTGGCTGGCGAACGGGCCAGGGGTGGCCTCATGACCGGCTGAAGCATCACCACTAAGAGGCTCCATGCCAACTTGCGGATGGCTCGCGTGGGGGGGGCAATCCTCAGCGCGCAAAGCGTCAAAGGTAATGGTAAACATCGGCAACGGCTGGGACACGTGTGCTCGGCCGCGAACTTCGGAACAAAACCGTGTTGCGACCGTGCCCTCCCTCTGCCAAGTGACTCCTGCCGAAATCGGCGTCGCCTCTGAGCAGGTCCAGCTCGGCAGTTTCACCTTGAAAAATCGCAGCGGCAAGCGAGGGGCATCAAAGGAGCCAAGACAGAACGGCGCACGCTCAACATTTGGGAATATGCATCACATGATGGTTGCCCCGATTTGACCAGGAGGTCTCCTTCCGATCGCCATTAGAACCAGATCGGGCGCTTCTGCTTCAGCGCCGCCGCCACGTGTCGGAAGCAAGTCGTGCGACGCCGCAGGAAGCCCTGACGAATCAAACCAATCAAACCCAGTCGATGAAACACCACCTGCACCAGTGCTGTAGTATTCAAACGATCTGCACATCAACCCACCGCCGAATTTGTCAAAGCCCTGGTGAAGAGGTGCAACGCAGGCACCTGGGCACGTGCCGAACAGTGCCTGAGCCACTAGACCTGCGTACCTTCCCATTCCCCACAAGCCATGATCAAGTGGCCCATTCCATTCACCAAGGCAGCACAGGCGGAACGCGCAAAGGACACATCCTAAAGCGACACCGCGCTGATCATACAATCAGCCCTGGTGGTAGATCGTCGGGCCCGAATTATCCGGTCTCCAGGAGTGCCTCACGAGCTCCATCGGAAGAGGAAGGTAACAAGATGGAAGGCACCAGTACCGAGTTCAAGCCATCTCAGAAGACTGATGTCAGAACGGCGATGCTGCTACTTATGATGATGATGATGATGATGATGATGATGATGATGATGATGATGCTGATGATGCTGATGATGCTGATGATGCTGATGATGATGCTGATGATGATGATGCTGATAATGCTGATGATGCTGATGATGCTGATGATGCTGATGATGATGATGATACTGATGTTGCTGGTTCGGCTGATGATGCTGATGATGATGACGATGTTGCTGCTGATGGTGATGATGACGCTGACGATGACGGTGTTGATGGTGATGATGCTGGTGACCGTGATGATGATGATGATGACGATGGTGATGATGATGATGACGATGATGTTGATTATGGAGTTGATGATGCTGCTGCTGATGATGATGACGATGATGAATATGATGATGAGCATGGTGTTCATAATGATGATCATGACGACGATGATGATGCTGATGATATTATTCATGACGATTCTGTTGATGCTGATGACGAAGATGATGATGCTGATGGTGATGATGCTGCTGATGATGATGACGATGATGATTGTGACGATGATGACGATGATGATGGTGCCGATGAAGATGAAGGAGATCGGGATCGGGACCGAGCTCGGATCGAGCACCGCGCGCGTCGAAGCGATGATTGCCATTTTGGGGAGCTCGCCTTGCTGACCGGCGTTGGCCTCTTGCGCATATCGCAAGATTCAGACGCAACCTTCAACAGAAGCGGACGACGACCGAAACTGCTCAAGGCGCTTTCCGATCGGCCCCCGCCGCATCCGCTCCGAGGCGCGCGGGTCCCGCCAAGCGCTCCTCCACCTCTGTGCGCTCGGGCACGTTGGGGCGGGGTAGAATACGACGCGATATCCTCGATGACTCCTAGGAGCGGCGTGGTGGCAATGCACGCTGGAGGCATTGGATAAGGAACCCTTAGATTACCCTGGCGACGTACTCAACCCTTGCGCAATGCGGGGCATCAGTACATCAGGATTGCTGCAATGGGGGCGATGACGTAACATGGACGCATGTGATTTCGCTCGCGAGCAGCAATCGGAAGTCTCGCAGGCCCCGACCAAGATATAAGGGCTACGCAATAACAAATCACCCCCGTTGGCTGTGCCATGCGCCCGTTGCACCCAACGTATCCCACAGCAGCTCTTGAGAACCCCCGCGGGATACGTGTAGACGCAGAGTTATGGCCATCGCCCGGCAGATGGCCTGTTTCACAAATCACCCCCGTTGGCTGTGCCATGCGCCCGTTGCGCCTAACGTATCCCACAGCAGCTCCCCAGAGCCCCCCAGGGACGGCGAGGTCTCGCTCAGGTCCCCGCGGTGCCTCACTCCGCTGGGCCCACCAGCTGCCCTCGAAAGTGGCGACGGTGTCGCAGATCGCAGCCCCCCCAGGGACGGCGAGGTCTCGCTCAGGTCCCCACGGTGCCTCACTCCGCTGGACCCACCAGCAGCCCTCGAAAGTGGCGACGGTGTCGCAGATCGCAGAACCCCAGGGACGGCGAGGTCTCGCTCAGGTCCCCGCGGTGCCTCACCCCGCTGGACCCACCAGCAGCCTTCGAAAGTGGCGACGGTGTCGCAGATCGCAGCTATCTCAGGGACGGCGAGGTCTCGCTCAGGTCCCCGCGGTGCCCCATTCCGCTGGACCCAACAGCAGCCCTCGAAAGTGGCGACGGTGTCGCAGATCGCAGCCCCCCCCCCAGGGACGGCGAGGTCTTGCTCAGGTCCCCGCGGTGCACTCCGCTGGACCCACCAGCAGCCTTCGAAAGTGGCGACGGTGTCGCAGATCGCAGCCCCCCCATGGACGGCGAGGTCTCGCCCAGGTCCCCGCGGTGCCCCACT